TGCCAGGCTTGCTGGGGGCACTGGCAGTCGTCGGACCCGACGCCGTCGCAGTCGCCGGCGGCGGCAAAGATGAAGCGCTCGGGGTCACAGCGATGGGGCGTTCAGCGGCAAGCGGCCGTCGAGCGCAGGTGATCTACCATCTTCTGAGCCTCCAAGAGATCCTTGACACTCGGGGAATTTACTTTCGCGGCCAGCACGGAGGCCACTCCCGCGGACTCGGACCGGGACTCTCGACCCACCCAATTGAATTTATAAACGAGACTGCGAAAGTCGGCCACCCCGGAACCACAGAGGACTACTATGATCTCCTCGCCCCCCCCATTGTTCTATGATGATATTTTCCTGGTCCACGAGAATTATCTGGTTGGGGGCCCCCTGGCCAATCCTCCGGAGCACGCGCCCAATGTACTCGACCCATTTTTCGCCGAGTCTCTCTGCATTTTGCCAAGATTGAAACGCTTACCAAACTCTGGCATATACTTGCTTTCCTGTCCGGGGGGGGGGGCCGTCCGACCACCCACTTCCAGTGGCACCTGCGAGATTAGGCGATCGCCCCGAGTCTGAGCGAACCAGCATGGCTCCAACTTAGTTCTGACGCACCCCTGGCCCTCAAGAAACCCAGCAGACGTGTCGCGGAAAGCCAGGGGCGCATCGTCGAGCCCGCCAACGCGAGCCACCAGCTCGATCAAAGCACCTGCCGGGTGGTTGAGCCCCTCGCACGGCCCCACAAGAACTCTTCCTCGTGGCCCTTAGAGGGGTCACATTGGCAAAAAGCATGATTGATGTCTCTTCTGTGGACCTCTAGGTCGTACATGAGCGATATGGCCAAAAATAACATCAGCGACTCCATCGAGGCAGTCGGAGCGTAGACCTGGAGCTCGGCAGTGCCCTCGTCCTGGCGCCCCCTGACGCACCACCTAGACATGGCCTTCGGCCGAGCCCCCACGCTACCCTGGGGGTTCGAACGGCGAACCATCCGGCCCAGGACAACCCGATCGGGGAAGAGGGCTCGCAGCTTTTTCACCCTCGTCTGGAGGGTGGGCGGCGACGGATATCGCGCTCGCGATGCCTTCACATTCCTGGAGGTCAGAAGCGGCAAACTCTCACCTTTCTGGGCATTCAGATCCTTCATGCGAACTGAAGTCCCTCGGTTGGCCCGGAGAGAAAGAGAGACCTGGGAGAAAGGGCCGCATTCCTGGGGAACGATCTCGACGCCCGCATGTCCATTGTGATAGGTCACCTAGTTCCCGCTCCACCCTTCGTTCTCTCTGCTTCTCTCCAGGTCTCCGAAAAACGCACAGAGAGAGCGATCCCCAAGTCCGAGGAGCGCCCTCCAGCACTCCCGCACTCGGGGGCGGCGACCTCGATCGTCTTCGAAACGGCCGTCCGTCCTCGATATGTCTGACCTGCCCCTGGGCCCTTCCCGGGGGACCCCCTCGAAAGCCCCCCCCTATCGGTTGGATCGTTGGCTGGCTCTTTTCGCGCCCAAATCCAGAATCTCATTCCGCAAGACAGTCCCTTCATTAAACCTCCGGCCAGTGGACGCCCTGGTCGACGACCGAGCGTCTGGGGCCTGTCCGGCACTCGAGGAGGACGCGGACACTGGAGCAACAGATCCAGAAGCCAGGGCGGCCGTGGAGTCGGCACTCGACGCGGCCGGCAGACCTGGCGGAAAAGAGAGAGACCCCAAGTCTAAGGGGTTGGCCCTGAGTTCTCGACCCCTGACACGACAGGCTCGGGCCCGTCGTCCAAACAACGGCAGACATGAGGACGATGACCTTCGTCCTCGAGAGAATTCGGACGTCTGGCGCGGAGGGCGGCGGGGTGACTGGCCGGGCGCCTGGCCGCGCCCCCCCGGAGTCAGCTCCCCGCTCTTCAGATGGCAGGGAGGGTTTGACGGGGGCCCCCCAAACGCCTCTGGACCGCGCCGCTTGGCCCCTCGACCCGAGGAGGTGGCACAGGGGCCAGCTGAATCACAAGAGCCGGATCGACCTGCACGCTGCGCCCCGGCCCCCAGGCCTCTCCGGAGGGAAGACCTCCCGCCGACGCGTCAACCCCGGCCCCAGCGCGCCCCACCTGAGCGCCCATGAGAAGACGCTGAAGCACCAGATCTGACATGACCTCTGCCCCTCTCGACTCTGGGGCGGTAGCAAGACAAACCTGTTCTTTCGAACGCTGCCAGAGCCGACTTCCCATAGCCACCCAGACGGTGTTCCCGGACTGGAGCGGCACCAACCCGGGGCCCATCCATCGGTCTCGCCACGTTTTCTTGCTGCTCCGTGCGGGGGCCCGTCTCCACACAAGACCCACTGGCCAGGATAGACCTGGGCGTCTCCATGGACGTTGGCCTTGCATGATTCCGCCATCTTTCGCCGGCTCGCCGCCCGAAGGAGCTCCTGCCTCGCTTGATCCCCAATGGCGCGCTGCCGGGCGCAATCGGCCGCGGCCGCTCCCTGGCCCCAAGCCGTTTGGACCAGCCCCCCCCCCGACCTGCCGAATCCCATCGTCCGAGAAGAAGTCGCTGGGAAGACGCGGGTGGGCGCCGTGCACAAGCTGAAACGGACTGCAGCCGCCTCGGTGGAAATATCTGTCCTTAGCGGACACAACTTGCGCAGAAGAGTCTCTAGCTCCTCCCTGGTGGCAACGACCGAGCTTTCGGACGCCCGAACGAGGATGTCCTTCACCCACCCGCCGCGCCTTCCAGCCCGACCGTTGCCCCATGGACGGTCCGCGTCCACCACGTGGTGGAAGACTCCGAGATGCCCCAGACCGCGCTCAAACTGCGCCTTGAGTTCAGGCCCGCCATCCGACGGCAACATCCCAGGGGGGGGGCCAAACGGACGCGCCCAAGCCTTCAACAAAGCCTTCCAGGCCACCTCCGAGGTCCCGCCAAACACTTCCACAATCTGGAGGTTGGTGCCATGGCACACACAGTTCGGAACAAGGACGGATCCCCCTTCGAGCGACGCATTGAAAGTATCCACCGCAATCACCTCATTGAACTGAAACGTCTGGGACATCGCCACGGCCGAAGTCCAGCCTGCTGAACATGGGCCTGGCAGTCTGCGCATTCGCATGCATCTCGAACGAAACGAACAATCTCGGGGCGAGCGTGCGCGGCCCTAAGGACCTTGACAAATACGTCCTTCCGCAGGTGTCCGAGGCCCCCATGAACCCTGTGAATTAGACGCTTGACCGAAGCGGTAGTCTTGAACGCATGCACGGCCTCAAGGGGGCCCCCCGCCCCCCCCCTTTCCGCGCCCCCCGCCCCTTCCGTGACTCGACTGGGCGCGCCTCGGTTCCGAGCCTGCACACTCCGAGAGTGGACTGACATCTCTCGGTCATTTCCTCGAAAGTGAGACAATCTGCCTGTTCCTCGATACTCCTCAAAACCGGGCTGGCGAAAGCCTGACACAACTTGGGGGGGGCACCTGAGACTTGCGGGCGATGTGCCCGTCCTCCAGCTGATAGTGGTAGCGGCCGCCTGCGCACTGCCGTCCTAAGAGCCGCCGAAGCAGACGGGGGTCGTTGGCCCTGATACGCGCGGCTTTCTTGGACAGGATCTCTTCTTGCACGCTCAGCCCGGACTCACAGTGATCGAAGACCACCTCCATGACTCCCGGAAGACCCCCGATCGCGTCGACCGCGCGGGTCCTCCAGGAGCTCGCTCCATTAGGACGTTCAAAATCGAAGCGCCTCCCACCTTGGATCTGAACGAGGGCGATCCCCATGCAGGAAGAGACATAGTTCAGAGCCTGCCTTTCCTCCCTGAGCTGCCCCTCTGCGGCCCCTGGAGAGCTGGAGCGAAAAAGATTACGAATGGGACTAGACTCAGCGCATGGGGGCTCGAGCAAGACCATCCACGGCTTTTCATTCCCCACCCCGCGAAGAGCCCTCTCTCGACCCCCCCCCCCCCCCGATCAAAGTCCGATCCCGCGGCGAGGCCAATGCTTCTCAGGGTGCGAATGCCGGCCCTTTTTAAAATAGGGACCACCCTAGGCTGTGAGAAGACCTCCAGAAAGAAGCGGGGCCGAAGATCAGGTTTGACCCTGCGGTCGCTGCGAATGGACAAAAGCTATTTCCTCCCGGTTTTCGCGAGAACAACTTCCCTGTCGCCATAGTGTCCACCAAAAGGCCCGTAACGCACGCGAATTCTCCCGGTCGGCCCCCGCGATGCACGAACGCGCCCAGACCGACGAGCGAATCCAGCACACGGCGACGATCTCCCTTCTTCGGGCGAAAGAAAAACTGGACCCCACTACCTTTGGACAGCTTCTTGACCCGCAGCTCCTGAGAGGAGGAGGCGCTCAGGTCCGCTTGCCCTGGCCGTCGTGGGTCCTCCAGCCTGCGCTGTGCCAGTCCTTCTCCTTGTTCGTCCGCTGGCTCTCGTCGCGCCATGGGCCCCCTCTCACCTTCGCCTCGCGACGCGCCTCCGCGCCTGCCGCCGCCTGCAAGCTCGCCGTCGAGCCCCTCGCCGAAACCTCGCCCTGATCCTGTGGATCCTCGGGTCCGATCGCGATGAGCGGGTCGGTCGGCGGGGTCGCGTAGCTGGGCCGGTGGTCAGAGCGCCCTCGATCGGCTGACCCTGGGCGCGGTAGAGCATCGCGGGATTCGCCACCTGAGCCACGTCCGGGCGCGCGGGGTAACCGCGGGCGCTGGGGCCCCCTCTGCCCTGGCTATCGCTGTCGCTGCCTTCTGCGCCCCCATCGCCGTCGCCATCGCCGGTGGCCCCTGGGTCGGGTCGAGCGGGGCTGCCCCGATGTAGGCCCAGTTCGCGCCCCCCGCCGATGGACAGGCTGGCAGCTGTGGCGGAGGCTGCGCCGCTGGCCCCATCAGTGGCGGAGCTGGCGACGACGCACGCGCCGACGTTGGAGCTTTGGGCAGGTCTTGCAGATCCGTCGACGATGGGCCCGCGACTGCGGCGGCTTCGGGCTCTGTCCGCATTACCGATCGGCCTGCCTTGCTGCTCGCTGCGCCCCGCCGGCTCCGGGCCAGGCGACTCGCCTCCTGGGCTTCGCCCCGGATGGTGGCCAGCGCTGTCATCTGCTCGTTCACCGTGGAGTTGACCTTCGCGATGACCTCACCTTGGGCCTGCTGAGTCATTACGACCCCGGCGATGAGTGCCTTCATCTCCTCCAGCTGCTTCTCGAATTTGCACATTTGCACTGCATCTCCCGCTCGAGCTGGAGCTTCGTCTTGACCTCCTGCTGCTGGTTCTCCACTTCCACCTGGTCGTCGACCCTCTCGGCCTTGCGCTTCGCCGACTCGGGCCGCCTCTGAGCCGCCCTCACCTCCACCTGAAAGGCTTCGCCCCTCGAGAGGTTCGCCACCGCGGCAGCCGCCGAGTTCGCCGCCCTCCGGTAGCCCCAGGATCCGCCGTCGTTGCCGCGCTCGGCGTCGGCAAACCTCAGGCCTCTCAGCATGCCCGGATGAATCGGCATCGGGCCCCCCTCGGTTCCCAACAAAGGTTTGGGCACTGGGGCGAGCGCCTGCCAGGCAGCCTCGCCCCCATGCTGAGACCGCCCCTGGCCGCGCAGAAGACATGCCGCATCTTTCTTCTTGCACGGGCACATCTGCTCTTCCTTCACGGCCCCCTTGGCGGGCTTCAGTCCCTGGTAGCACACCCCCGAGTGCACCGAGCGCCCGTGAACCACTGGCCGCATGAGTTCGCCCCGTAGCCGACCAGCGTCGGAGGGTGCCAACACCCAAAGTATCCCCCTGGGAAGCGACGCAGCTCCCTCGGCAGACTGGCGGGCCAGCAGCGGTGCGCTCGCATCATATTCCCGGACTCCTCCGACGACGCGTGGCCCACAGCAAGACGTAGGACGCCAGGGCTGCCCAGCCCCGAAGGCCCCTGCTCGGACCCTCCGGGACACGCCCCCCGGCGAGCCCGCACACCCACGCCTGGTCGGGCTGGCTGGTCGCCCGGCCCGCCATCGTGGAGGGCCTCTCCCCCCTGGCCCGACGAGGAGGCATCACTGTTGTTCCAAAGACGGCCCTTCTCGGAGTGCTGGCCGAGGTCAACGCCGAATCGGTTCAGACTCGAGATGAGCTCGTGCCCGAGCGCTGCGCCCCACGCCGGCGACGTACCCGCGCTGGTCGTAGAGCCCCGCCCCCCCTTAGCGCTGCCTTCCCTCGGTCGAGTCCCCGGATCGATCTCACCCGCGTCCGACGCAGCCCCTGGGCCCCCTCTGAGTCCCCGGCGAGGCCCCTTAGGGGCGCCGCCGAGACCCCGCATGGACTTCCAGGCCATGTTGAGACCTCTCAGGCTCCCCCAGCAGCCCCAGAAGTCCCCCCCCCGGCGACCCGGCCTCGCGCCTGGCTGACCTCTGCACGCGGAATCCTTGGAGGCCGTGGGAGCCCCGAGGAAAGAAAGAGAGAGGGGAAGTCCTGCACTTACCCCTCGCTTGAAACGCGTCTCCCGAGAGCTGCGGGCACGCTTAGAAGACGGACTCGGGCGGCGCGCAATCGGCTGCCCCGCCAAACTCGTCTACCTGAATCGCGCGATGAGCCGAGGGGAGACGAGTCAACTCTGCGTCAAGCGCCAGCTCGGTCAATATCACCACGCCGCCTGGGAGACCCACGACGCCCCCGAACACACCCTGGAAGCGAACGGGCAGGGGGGGGGGGGGCGTCTTCCTCAAGAACGCCCAGTTCGATGACCCCCATACAGCCCTCGACGCCTAGAGGCATCAGGGCCGCGCTTGAAACCCCCCGCGCCTCCACCTACTCCGCGGGCCCGAGGATTTCGACGAGGCGCCCTGGGAGTGGCGACCTCCATCGAGGTCCGGCACCACTCGATCTGGCTCAAGGCCGGTTCTCCGACGAGACCTCGCCAGGCCGCGGCGCCCGCAACCATGGCCCCAGGACGAACGGACAAAAGAACAGCGGCATATGAGGGCGGAGGAGGGGGAGCGGGCCCCTCGGCCACGCACGCTGAGAAACCACCCAGCGCGTTCACGCACATGAAACTGAAGCCCGCGAAGTGCGAGGAGCTCTGCTCAGGCTTCTGGGGCGGCCTACTGCCGCCACCAGAGCTCGACTTGCTCGAACATTCCCTCGACCAATGTCCTTTCCGGAGACACAGGCGGCATCTCGTCCGCTTGATCAGCTCAGCCAGCGGCAGGTCGGTTCTTGCGCGGTCGGAAGGCACCGCCCGCCGCTCCGCGGCCAGGCCAACGAGGCCTCGCGACCATCGCCGCCACGAGCTCCAAAGCGGTCAAAGAACTTCCTGTCGACCTTGAAACGCGTCTTGAGATCCTTGTTCCCCTTCCACGTCTCGCGACGTCCCTGGCCATCGCCGCCAGGGTCTCCGGAGCGTCATCCTCTCCGACGCCAGCTGCCTCCAGCGCTGCGAACGCGGACATCTCGCCCACCGAGTTCATGGAGGAGACGCCTGGAGTCATCGTCGGCGTCGCCCTCCACCTGCCAGGACGCTGGAGGGACTGGAGGTGGAGGGGCGCCCCGCTGCGTCCGCATCGAGGCCGTGCCGCCATAGTCGTACGCGACGTAGGCCTGCCTCCCTTTTGGTCGTTGTAGGCGCTCGCGGTGGCTGATGCCCATCTCGCTGATAGCGGCCAATGCCGCCTGGTAGGTCCTCTCCCCCTTCATGGAGATCCTCGCCAGCTGCGCCGACTGCTGGCCCAGGCCGACGCCCTCCTCGAGGAACATGAGCGTCGACGCGCCAAGCATCGCCAGGCCCTGGACAGCGACGCGATCGAAGGCCGCGTCGATCCAGGCGCAGTACTCCGCGAGATTCTCGTTGTGCCTGAATGCGAAGTCGAGCAGGCACTCCCCTGCGACCTTGCGCCGCTCGTCGCCATGACGTTCTCCAGACATCAAGTCGAGGCGTCATATGATGGCGTCGATGCCCTTGTCGCTGCACAATATGTCGTCAGAGATGTTCTCCAGTTTTCTCTGAAGGTCGGCGTCTGGTGCCTTGAACAGTCGATTTCCATGCCTCTATACTTATATGTCCGTCGTGCGGCGCCATCTCTGAATCTTCCTGCGCCACATGCGCTAGCGCGCCTCGGCGATCGCCCAGTTGTCCCACTTCTCCGGATCGGTGTCATCCTTTCCTCTCGGCTGGTCATCCCTGGAGTTGCGCGTATCTTGAGTGGGCTCGTCATATCTAGCGTTCCAGTCGCCGCGACTCCACTCGGGTGCCGTCGAGGACCAGGGCGCTCCCAGTAGTGGCGTGGAATCCCATCCCGATCCAGTTCGAAAACAAGTATCCGCCGTTTTGTCCCAGCTGTCCTCGGCCTCCTTCCAGCTCCAGGTGCCCTCCTGATGCCAGCTCTGCCATTGCCAAGCCCCGGATCCCGAGCCGTGGTGCGTCCCCGCCGGGCCAGCGGCCCCGGACCTTGCACCGGCAGGTGTGCCGCCCGTCAGCCGCTCGCTCCAGCCGCTGCGCCACGGGTCGTGCTTCTTCTGCTGCCACAGATTCTCCCGCTGCTGCTGCTGCTGCTGCTCGGCACCTGGCGCTCCGTCGTTCGACGTCGAACCTCGCTGGAAGTCATCGTCGCCCTTGGTCGCCTCGAAGTCCCGAAACAGCTGACAAAATTCTTGAGACATTCGCTGTGCTACCTCTGTGTCAAGACCATGCCCCACAAGAGCTTCAGTCACTACTTCCAATGCGTTCGTTGCCTGCCCCCTTGCTGCCGGGGGCGAATCCAAATTATCATCCGTCCTCGCCGCTGCTGCCGACATGGTCCGCGGAATTGGAGCTTCACGTTCCGCTACAACTGTCGCCCGACGGACGACAGTGATGAGGATATGGATGCCTGGAACCCTCCCTTCACCTGCCAGCTGCCGCAGGCCATCAGTACACGCACTGGCTCGCTAACCGAACCGCTCTGCAAGAAAAAATGAGGGGATATGGCAAGGTCGATGAAGAGGGAGTATGGAGCGGGAATATGGGGTTTGGGTATTGAGCCGAAATGGTACGACCCCTGCCCATGGACAGCACACCCCTCATGAAACTCTTACGCTCAGGGAGTCTCGCATACAGATAGGACGTCTTGTCCTAACTATTCGCCTCGAGAGTCAAATCTCACAAAGGGACCCCCAACCCAAAGACTGCCCCACAGGAGCCCAAGATTGCCCCTCGATTCAAATCCTACAGCCTTCTGCCGCCCCACAGGCAAGCCGCCTCCGTCCGAGAGTACTGGACTGGCACGGTGGGTGGCGGGACTTGCCGCAGGCAGCTGGATCAAAAACCGATACTCTAGTCAACCGTCGAACCTCGATCGGCGGTGGCGACGATCGGCGGCGGCGGCAACAATGACGCAACGACGGTGACGCCGACGGCGACGGCGACGGCGGAAACGGCGACGACGACCACGACCACGGCGGCGACGGCGACGATTGCGACAGCGACAGCGACGGCGACGGCGACGATCGATCGATGGATCGATCGACGCCCTGGCCCCCGCGGCACGATGGATCAATCGACGCCTCGGCCCCCTGAGTATTGTTTAACCGATCCCCATCCCCAGCGGCGTGGCCTGGCCCCCACTGGCCGATTTACCCCCCTAGCTGGGGATTTAGGTCGCCCCATTCGGGTTTCGAGGGGTGTTTCCCCAACTGGGGGCGTAATTTGGTTGGGGTCTCGAAGGGGATCGGGATGGGGATGGGGATTGGTTAAACGATACCGAGCCCCCCCCCCCCGATCGAAAGATAGGTCGATCGATCGGGCGCCTGCACGCAGCACGCGGGGCCGCCTCGGCCGGGGTTCCGCCCCCTTCGGGGCGGCCGCCGCGGGTCAGGCCGCCTCTACGGGAGCCGCCGGGCCCGCCGCAGGCGGGCCCCAGGGCGCGCGGCGTCGGCCTCCTCGTCGTCGCCGTCGACCGATAGATACGTCGTCGTTGTCGCTGCCGATGTCGCCTCCGCCGCCATCGTCGTCGATACCGTCGTCCGTCGTCGTCGTCGTCGTCGTCGTCGTCGTCGTCGTCGTCGTCGTCGGCCGTCCTCGTCGTCGTCAATAATCATCATCGTCATCGTCGGTGTTCGTCGTCGTCGTCGTGATCGTCGTCGCCGCCGTCACCGTCGCCGTCACCGTCGCCGTCGCCGTCGCCGTCGCCGTCGCCGTCATCGCCGTCATCGCCGTCGTCGCCGCCGCAGATCGAGGTTCGAGGACCGAGGTTGGAGGGTAGACGTTCGAGTCTGGAGAACTCTGAAGGTGGAAAAGGCATAGGCATAAATGAGGGGCAATATATAGGCACATACGTAAAGCACGTAGGGTTCGAGTCACAGGAGAAAGGCAATATATAGGCGCATACGTAAAACACATAGGGTTCGAGCCAGAGAAGGGGAGGTAATAAATAGGCACACGTCAAACCCATCGGAATCGAGCCACAGGAGAGGGGCAATCGATGGGCACATACGTGAAACCTGTAGGATTCGAGCACCAGGAGAGGAGCAACTGTTGGCATATTCGTAAGTGCACCTAGGATTCGAGCCACAGGTAAGGGGCAATCCAGAAGCAAATTGATGATCCCAGTGCGACCCTACCTAGAAGTTGGAGCCCCTAAGAAAGCAGCATTATTAGTAACGGTAAAGCTATGCTAAAGCTAAAGCTAAGCTAAAGCTAAGCTACAGCTAAGCTAAAGCTAAGCTAAAGCTAAGCTAAATCTAAGCTAAAGCTAAGCTAAATCTAAGCTAA